CTTTTTTATTCGTTTAACAAAACTCAAATTGAATTCAGCTGGACACACTTTCCTGTTTATCCCAACAAATGGCCAAGCAAAGCGCACGACACTGACAAGGTACGCGATACAGTACGAGACCAAACGCCATTTCAGCACGTCTCCACAGTAAACAAAACAAGCGTTTCCTAGCAACGACAACTGCAATATTTAAAAACTGAGATATGACCGTTTTTAAACTATAATACAGCTTGTGAACAAAATGTCACGTAGCATTTCATTTACATCAGGCAAATCATCAGTGTCCACAGCTCATTAGTTCGCTAGAGACATGGGGCCTCATTTATCAATCTAACGTAGAAACGAGCGCAGATCCGTGCGCACAAATCAACTTACGACAGAGTTCACGTGTGATTCATGAAACATTTGTATGCCGCCAATCTCATCGTACCAATAATCGCACGTTGATAAATGTGGCGGCAGAAAACAATCGTCATTTGAATATCACGCCCCTAAAAACAACCTGGTTTAGAAGCCTCGCCACTAGAGTTTACGACACGGAGAAACGAAACCCGGCCAAAAAGAGGAAGTAGTCTACAAAGAGAAATTGATCTTACTCCAAAAACATCCGTTAACCTTGTCAATGTTGCCAATTTAGCTACTTTGTAGCTAGATTTAGCGAATTCCCCGCCCCTTTTGAGACTTTTTTTCAAAAGTTTAGGGACAAATATAGCAACTTCTTGGACAAACCTTATCCAAGTTCTCATCTTGCCCACTGATCTACGTTCATCTTTATATAGATCAGTGAATTTGCCATTGTGATGTCATCTAGTGACATTTAGCTACCAGTTTTAGCTACTTTCAATTGAAAGCAGTTGGCAACACTGACTGTGAGTCAAATCATGGCATCTTCGCTCGTCATATGCACAAAACATGTCCTGCTTCATCATAACCAAAGCTATGTATTAGTTTATACAAATAACTCATAACCTCACCATATCCAAAGTTATTTTATCACGTCTATTTATTTATTTATTTGTTTGTTTGTTTGTTTGTCATTCTGTAGCCTACGCTGCATTCAGTCAAAAACATTATTCTGGATTTTAAAACTGTTAACAAAGCATCCCAATTCACAACGTTTGATTACGGTTTTATAATAAATTATTAATTTGAACTAATCTGTGAGTTCATTTATTTGTAAGAATGATCGTTCACAACCCATCTAGACAAGCCACCAGACTGGCTAACGTTACTCAACGGCAGGGGCGTAGCAAGCTTTTCAAAAGTGCGGGGGATGGATGTGGTTTGTTTATTAACAATAAAAACGATGAATACAGTGACAGAGGGGTACAAAATGTATAACATACAAGATATAAAAAGCTTCCCATTTAAATGAGTGATACTAGATAAGTATAAAAACACACTCGGAACACACGGAAAATAAGTCAAAACTCTGTTGTGAAAATACACAACAGTAGACTTGCTAAAGAATCAGAAATACTTTAATAATCCCAGGGGGAAATTATTTTTGTTACAAACTCCAGATATACAAACAACATATATTAAGAACAAAACATTATATGTATATTAAAATAGGCCTACTCGTAAATATAAACAGCCTATTTAGTTCCCCTCACTCTACAACAAATATTTTAAATTTAACTGTATTCAGAACAGGAAAAGAATGAAAAGTAGTTATAAAATTATATATTTAACTATAAAATAAAACTAATTAGGCTATTGTGGCATTCATTATAAACAGCATACAAAGTCAAGCAAAACTGAAACGGCATTGGGCTCACGAGCCTGTGTGACCGGTGTAATCTGCGTTGTTTTTTTCTCAGAGTAGTAACCAAACGGACATCAGTTTAACTATTAACTCTTAGGATTTAAACAGAGTATAAAAGTGCTTTTTAAAGCAAAGATGAAATTAGATTAATCAGAGCTCATTAGCAACCCACCTCTCCCATGCAGAGACAGTGCAGAAAGGGAAGAGGAGGTGCAAAGACAGGAAATTAAGACTAACGCTGCTGTCAGAAATTTAAAGGGGAAGGTGCACACACAGACAGGCATATCAGGTATACATCGTGAACATTTTTGTGTCATTCTACATATGAAATTAACATTACTTTCCATACCTGTTACACCTGTCTCATACCACAAGAAACCAAATGTTTCCATTTTTGCCATATTTGTAACATTTGTTTGCATAACTATTATTCAGCCTAGCTTATCAGTGGTGACTGTCAGTTAATGTAGGCTACATATGGCAGAAATGTACGGAAAAATCAATTAAAGACGTAATCAAACAGACGATGAAAAGACATAAAGAAAAGAAATAAAATGCATTAAGAGTGTCACAAAAACGAGCGTAGCCTATACTTGTTGCATGGTGTTTTTTCCCCCCTTTTGTTAATCTGTTAATTATATTATAGCCTATTATATATTTTGTGTGATCCTATTTATTTTATTCCTTTTATAGACTTAATTTCTGTTTTTCTCCTTTCACAGAAGCGCAGCAGGTGCATGATGCGACGATTGAATCCTCATGGTCTTGTTTACGCTGCTATTCGCATATAAAGCTAAAGTCCTGTATAAAACAAACAAACAAAAAAGACATTCTAATCTTACTGGTTAACGATCGACTAATGAGCTTCGTTTGACGGTCAGGAAAATAAAAATGAACAAAATGCTGTCATTCTAGAATGCTCCACCATATTTACTATGCTGCGCGCAAGTTTAGGTAACTCAAAAACTTGCGTAGCCTACACGAGCTGAGACCAGACGTGAGATTTGATCGTAGCAACCGCTCACGTCCATATTGATAAATTCCAAGTTTTGCGTTGAAACGACCGTACGCCCAATTTTCTGTCGTACGTTCGTTTCGTAAATGAGGCCCATGAAGTCTAGAGAAGAGCATTTCGCGAAATATTAGACTATATACTAATTCTTTTATAATATTTTAATTTACCTGTTAGTGATGTCTTAATTATTTAATGTACGTTTAAATAAATCTGTTATGAAACAAGTTATGACAGCCACAGTGTAAATGAACATATTTCAACAACAAATAGAAATTGTATAATTTAGAAGTTAATTTAAAAACTGCATTATGTGCAATTTACATGTTTGCATACATTTGAGTGTTGATTATTATATTTTAACATAAATAATAATTACATTTAAGTTTGGGCACTATTGTTAATTGTATGTAAAAGGGCTTAATATTGTTTAGAACATAAGCTGAGGTAAATTTTTATCCCTAAGAAAATTTTAATTATAATTTATTTACAGAAAGAGCAATTTGTTCAGTAAACCACAGTTTAATTAAAAAAAGCAAATTTGGACTTCCGGTTATGGAGTGGTACTGAGAAGACACGAGTTAACGACCCTCCTATAATTTTGAATATAAATCCTTCAAGCTCACTTAAAACTTTGATATCCCGTATTTTGGGCTTAATTTATGTGTCCCGTACGTGGCCTCCCTTGTCCCGTTTCTTGACTGCTAACCACTGTCTGATACTGTCCACTTGAGAATGATCACCAACACCTGTCACCATCCAGTCACAGCCACCCTCATGCAGTATACGTTAAGTAAATCAGAAATTGTGAGCATAACTGTTCGAGGAAGGCTGGAATCCCATAGATATAACACATTCGTTGCAACTGCACAATCTAGCGCACAAGCTGATTGTCAGCTCGCTGCGCGCAATGCATTTCCCGGGAGTCCTGAATGTTGGAGCAGATCTCCTGTCAAGGGGCAACCCGTTATATGGAGAATGGGTACTCCACCCGCAGGTGGTGAATCAAATTTGGGAAATGTACGTCAGAGAAATGTATGGAGAGGGTTTTTCACCCTCACCCAGAACGACTCAATCTTTGGGTCTGGCCCATGAGGGGTTGAATCTAAATGGGCTTCCCCAGGAGGTTATAAACACAAAGTGCAAGAGCTCCATCAGCGTGCTCGCTGTATGATCTGAAATGGCGGGTCTTTGAGGACTGGTGCACTCGTAAAGGATTTATTCCCTTTCAGTGCGTGGTGAGTGATGTTCTCTGCTTTTTGCAATGCTTACTGAACAATGGGACGAGCGTTCTCTACTATTAAAGTTTACCTGGCTGCTATATCTGCTTGCCATGTAGGGTTCGAAGGAGTTTCAGTGGGTCGGCCCCTCTTATATGCCATTTTATGAAAGGAGTGAGGCGTTTGAGACCAGTGTCGAAGCGGCTGGTCCCGTCATGGGATTTGTCTATGGTATTGAATGCTTTAACTCAGGCCC